TTTTCTTCTTCCTTTCGTCCTTCGTCTTGCTGCCTTCGTCCATGCCGACAACGTTGGGTGGTATACGAGGGATCCGGGAGGACGCGGTGGGAGAGCCACGGCAGTCCCACACAGGAATTCCGCGTACCCCGCGTACCCCGCACAGATTCCCGAGACTCCGGGGGAGAAAAAAAAACTTTTTTTTTTTTTTTTTTTTTTTTTTTTTTTTTTTTTATCGAGAATCTCGCCGAAAGTTTCTGCGAGAGAAAAAGAGAGGAGAGCCACTGTGAAATATTTCGTGGTCACAGAGCTCGATATGAAGAAAGATGCCTTTTTTTCCTTATGATTGAACTTAATCCCTTTCATTTGACGCACATACACACGCGTCATTATATAATATTCAAATATTTCCAGCTGCTTTTTTTATTATTTATCGTAATTCATTTATAGCTTGCGTTTAATAAAATATATAGTAGTATTTCGGGAGAGACCTTCGATTGAAATAAGATCGATAAAGTCTTTTTCTTTGTATATTTAGTATTATAAGAATATTATTCTCCCATTTTTGTGAGCAAACGAATCTCAAGCTTCATCTGATCCCCAAGATTAAAATAGTCGATTTCAGAAAATATTGTTCCATCTCGTTCACTCTCGTTTTCGATTGAACTGCCAAAACAAATTCCCGGAAGATAAACAAATTCGTACCGGTTATAAGATCACGGTCGATAAGCAACGATTTTATAATTGAGGAACACTGTAATTACAGTTTAAATTTAGACATAATGATAAAATTTTTTGATAACAAAGTAAGAAGGTAAAAGATCATTAGAAAATATGATATTTGTATATATATCCTAAATATATTATATTTTTTTTTTATAATACTACTAAATTGAGTTTGTTAAATACTTTTAACTTTAATAATAATTCGACTAATTATGTTTAGTAAAAAATTTTATTAGTGATGCACGTTATTTATTTTTGAAGTTTTAATTTCCTGTACATGTGTGTACGTTTTTAAAATAGTACTAATTTTTTTATTTACTAAATTTAGTTTTATGTTCGATTATAATTTATGATATCGAGTTTTCTCATATTGTCAATTTTTTTGTTAGAATCGTCAAGTATTAATTATATATAATTTCCTTCCCTTATTCCATCACACGAAAGAGTGCATGTTATACCGGATTTTTCCAATCTATTCCTTCTACCGTACAATATGTTTTCTGGATAGAAGATCGAGCGTGTCTCTAGGAATGATATTAATACCGCATATATAGACGTTACCGTGAAATTCGATCAACCGGAATGGCGATGATTGACGTCACGACTCTACTATCGGAATGCAATTAATATTGCATAAATGAGACCCCCTCCTCTGCAAACTTGTAGCAATTAGCACGATTCTGATCGTACGATGGAATCGCTTGTAATTTGCACACATAATCGCGCAAAAAGTTTTACTCGCCGCATGCGAGAGAGAAAAGTACATTTGAATGCGCACGTGCCGTCTAATATAATTGTGTCTACCGCCACGTATCTTGACGTGCCTCGTAAAATACACCTTTGTCTCCTATACACAGTTAATATAAGGACATTAGGCACCTCGCTAGTATAACCAACGAGCTACGACGCGACTCGCGTGAATAATTCATGCAGCGCCACGATCTAAAAACCTTCTTTTCTAAATTGACATAAGTCAACGCACGAGCTCGTTGTCGATGACGACTTACAGTCGTCGGTATTCGCGAGTGTAGCTACAAAAGCGACTTTATTTTATCATTTGCCGATACAGAAAGAAAGAAAAAGAGAGAGAGAGAGTATACGCTCTACACGTTGTCTGAATAATAAATGCCATCGAGCTACCGCATCGATACCTTCGTACACATATGAGCTTTTCAGCGGAAAGAACGCGATGCGAAGTCAAAGAGAGCGAAGAAGTACCTACTTCACTCTTCGCGAGAGAGGAGACTTTCGCTCGCCAACTGTCCGCTCTTCGTTTAACCCATGATTATCCTGGTACTTGGTACCCACCTGTCATTACGATACATCGTGGCGACACCCATCGAGTTTCGTGCGCCGCTGCGGAAGGGAAATATTTGCCGCGTACTTCCTGATTATATGCCTCCATGGGTAATCACGAATTATGCGAGGAAGAAATGCCCACATTGTAATGTAATGCTAAGCTACTTCCTTCAACAATTTTTCCGGAAATACCCTCTCGAATACTCGATCAAGTAGAAATACCATAACAACTCGTCGCAACTTTTGACACACGCCTCTAAATTTCGATATAATTTAATAAAGTCAGACTTGAATTTTTTTTTTCGGTCTTGAAGGCGATTTTGCAAAATTTTTTTCTTTGAAATCAATCCGCAATTAAATAAGATTTCAATAATATACGAAAATAATCTTTCCATTTCGTGATGATAATGGAAACACCATAATTGGAGTAAGATAGATACGAATTTTCCCTATCGATTGCTATTATGAATTAAACAGTTGGAAATTGTACTAGTTTTAATCTCTGTATTTAAATCACTTACCGAAAATTTATGATATGATACACACACGAGAGTTTATTTTCTCACAGAAAAGTCTGGAAATTGTACAAGCCGGATCATTGCTCGCGTCGCATGATATGACAAGATTGTAATTAAAATGGTAATCACCGGTTCGATAAAATGCCATCTCCATTACAAAGCGCTCAACTACGGAGAAAATATTAATCTACATCCTTGAGCTACATTTCTACGTTTTATAAAAATAATGAAGGTGCTCGGTGAATGACTTCCTTTCGTATGCGGTTTCATCGTAATAACTGCAGAATAAGAGGGCAGTAATTACTTTTCGTGAAACTGTCATGTTTGTCGGATTCATTCTTCGTTTACCCCGTGCTTTGGTTATTACTAACAACGAATAGCAATGACTGCGTTAATTTCTCTTATGACAATTCACGATACGCGATGCTTTGTACAAAATCAATTTTTACTTTTTTTATTAATTTATATATTCACTGTAATCATAATAACAGTATTTCTACGGTAATGCAAACACAATATTGTCAAGCATTCTTTTTTAGATTTTATTCGTACATTTTTTTTTTCTCGATAATTAAACCAAATTACATTTGTCATTTTTTTTTTTTTTTTTTTTAATATAACGAATTAACTTAAAACATTATAATAATTAATTATCTGAATTAATAACGAACTAAATTATCCTTTTGTCGTGATATAATCTATATTATTAGATTTATGTAATATGAACATGAACAACTGTAATATAAAACTATATTAACGGTTCTTGAGCTCTCTTATAATAATTTCTCTCGGGATTTCTCATATTTGCGGAAGCTACTATTTTGCGGATGTAAGAACGTTTAACGAAAGACTGTGTATTACGCTACCAAACTAAGATGTCGTAGGCCTGGATGGCCATGGAACTGGTCGCCGGTAGGCAGTCTGGATATATCGAGGCGAGAGAAGGGTCTTCCTCAGGTTCTTCGGCTTCGATCCAGACGGGGACGACCTCTCCCTCGCCGGAGGAAGGAAGGAAGGACGGACGGACGGACGGAAAGAAAGAGATAGAGATAGAGAAGCGAGCGAGAGAGTGAGACAGAGAGAGAGAGAGAGAAAGATGGGTGCACGCATGACCCTGAACCCAACCGCCGTGGCACCCAACCCCCGGTACAGGGGTGCGAAGCCTCGGGAGAGAGAACTCGAGATAGAACGGACGAAGCAAGGGCGAAAGAGAGGAGACCGCGGTAAGCGAGGGGAGATATACCGTATATACGAAGAAGAGAGGAGTCGAGGAGAAAGAGAGAGAGAGAGAAAGATAGAGACTCCGCCGAGAGAGAGTACAGTTCCCGAGATCAATACTCCCGCGTCTTGCGATCATTCATCTTGCCACGCCCCTCTGCTCTCTCCACACATTCCCCGTCTTTCTCGTTCCCTTTCGTTCATCCCCCTTTTCCCCATCATTCTCTCTCATTCCCCCTCATACTTTCTCTCTTTCATTCTCCTGCTCTATCCCCCAATCTCCCCTTTCCTCACCCTTCGCGTGCCGCGATCTTCATCCCTCTGGTAGCGGCACCCCTCATAGTCGTGGTCGCCGTCATTTGGCGCCCAATCGTGGCGCCTAATACGAATGGAGCAAAGGGGAGAGAACTTTCCGAAGGTCGCAGGAGAGAGGGAAATCCAGAGAGAGACGGATAGAGAGAAAGCGTGATAGCGCATAAGGTGGTGGCTCCGGTTTCCTACGCATTGACTATACACGGTTTTATGGGAAAATGACAATTTCTTAGATTCGTGCATCTTATATACTTAATGCTGTATGTAGTATTTTGTATAAATGAAGACGCGCGTTATTGTGTTAAGAATCATTGTTTTAATCCTATAAATTTTTATCCAAATATATTAAACTTATATTTAAACTTATATTTAAAAACGTATTTTTCTGTGTTTTATATATTTATAAAGTAATATTTAAAGGAATTAATTTGCCTCGAACTTTTACAAAAAATTCATAAAGATATGGACAATAAGAAACAATCTATGAATCAATTCTTGACATGCTAAATAAGTTTTCCCATCAAAAATGAATATTATTTTGTAGCAGAAAAATATTTAGCATATGAAATATCGCGGGAAATGTAATTTATATATTCAGCAAAAATTTAATTTCTTGTAACACTTAAAAATTAATGATCTATACTTTATAATCTTATAAAATAATGTTAAAGTACATTTTATATAAATATTAAACATTTATTACGCGTGTCAAATATAAATATAACAAATGTCGTATATCAAATGTGAAAAGACAAAATATAGATAGATTTTGTTTGATTAGTACATACAAATAATTTTGAAAATCAAAATAGCATACACGTTGACTATGTGTGTTGTTGACGTTTGTTATTGTATCTATTGGCCGTATAAGATGTTTATGTATGACAAATTGTTTACATAACACTGTGCGTACTTATTATGATACCGCGTATATTCAGTTGTCAGTTTTCATCGATCTCTTGAAATGGAAAAATATAACCAGTACAAGAATAAAGTTTGGGAACTCTTTGGGACTGTTTATAACGGTAATACTTTAACCGCTGCTAATTATTACAAAAATTGCATTCTCTAATCGACGCATGAATATCGATATATAGTGAAAAAGACGTTTGTCACATTCGAAATAATCTTCCAGAATTATGTAATATTTCTTTTATATTTCTTACTTGTTTCTTTACGAGCAAGCACCTTCTTGCCAGTTTACTTACACGTAATTATTGACAGAATTAAATGATTGTTTGATGGAACTTGACGGAATAAGCCGTGGATAAAGTTAATATCGCAAAAGGAAAAATAAGAATGCCAAAGAAACATTTCCTATTTCGTATCGCGATATAAAAAAAAAATATATATGGACATATATGAGGCGTTGAATGTAATTTAAATGAATTTTTTTAGCCAAGTTTTATTTTCCACTTGACAATGATAATGAATTAATATACCAAAAGACGATACGAAAGAGATAGTTTCAAAGAGAGTGAATATTTATTGTAGATTGAAAGACTAGTAGAATTCCCTCCCCCCATTCGATCGAACCTCGCGATAAAAAAAAGCTTATAATTGAAGGAACAAAATTTTTAAATGGAGAAATTGATACATTGATCCTCCTTCCGTTGTCCTTTTTTATGATGAGTTCGGTTTCTTTTCGTTTATATTTTCTTTTTTGATCTTATGCCGACGATTCACAGCGAGACGATTTGTGTGTGTTTAAAGATATTGTAAGAAGGAAGGGGTTGCTTCAATTGTTGTGAAAGTAATTCATATTTCGGTGAAACACATTGTAAACGAAATTGAGGTGAATCATGTGATTATTACTCGTTTAAGGAACATTTGGTCTGCCATAACCATTTTAAATTTAAAACCTGCATTTTAGCATGTGTTTTTCTTTGATGCTACAAATATAGTCTTTATGACAATCGTTTCATTAAGATACAATACTCATTTTTTTTTTTATTTATAATATCAGAGTGAATTTATCGAAATTATCCTCGTATGATTGACAAGTATTTCATTGGAAGTAATAAAGTATAACTACAATGTATCTCTTTTTTTCACTCCTATTATTATATAATTTCACTCACAAAAGATATATAAAACATAAGTAGAAAATTTGAAAATAATCAAAATAAAATTTTACTTTAAAACTTTATTAGCAAATTTATTTGTCAAAGAGACCATGATTTTTAAAGAAATACGGGGTACTAATAATCATGCGCTAAAACAATAATGGTTTACCTTTGGTTCATTGCCTTTCGTACTTCTCTAGATAAATATTTTTAAAAAAAAGAAAAGATTGATAGAAATCCGTACTAAGTGGGGATGTAAAAAACGACGAGGAAAATCGAACGGGAAGATCGTAGAACAGGCGAGATGGAGCATATCGAGGAAAAGCGAGGAGATCTAATGTAAGTAGGGACGAGCTCGTTCAAAGTCTCGGAGATGTCCGTGATATCTTTTCCTTTGAATCGTTTCCTCGCTGCTATCGCACCACCTGTCGCTGCCATCGTACTTGTTACATTCGCCAACCCCTCCCCCGTCGCTTCGTTCTTCCGTGGGACAAAAAGAAATCGAATTACGGGCGGAAGACCCGCACACGATCTGTCTACGATCGATTCGGTCATTCTCTCGAGGTCAATGCGAACGATTTCTTACAAGCTCACATTGTTCTTTCGATAGATTTTTTCATCGCTCCTGAGAAATTATCTCGAGAAAATTTATACTTATTATTAAATAATAAATACTATTTATATTTATTATTTATTTTTATTTTTTGAAAAATGAAAACTAATTTCCAATTTAACTTAGGATAAACGTAGAAATTATTTTCGCATATTTACGCAGCATAAGAATCTGAGCTCATTAAGATCCTAATTACAGTTTTTATTTCTGAATACATGCTCGTTAAGCTAACTAACCTTAATTCGATGACAAATCTAACAGATTTAGTCTGTGACATATTGTAAAAAAATATTCTCGAGTATTTACGAGTAAAATGTTTAGTCCTTATTAAAAAATTTAATATAGTACATTGTAGTACAATAATTACTATCTCTATTCGCGATAAGATATTTTCCACGATGTGTTATTACTAATTTTGGATTTATCGAATGTGCAGGGATGGAAGCAGAGGACGACGAGGAGATCAGTGACAGTAATGAGAGATCCGACGAATCTAGCGAAGTTTGGGACTGTGTCGGGGGCGGGGGCGGAGGTGACGAGGGCGGAGGAGACGAGCAGCTCTTTCAGATCAGCCGGCTGCAGCAACACGCCACCTCGGAAACTAGCTTCAACCGGTGAGTAATTCGCATTCTTGTTATCGCCCGTTTATTAAAAAATTCGTCATCTATGTCGTATCTACTTCATCCCTCTCGCTTTGGCAAACCCCTCACATTATATACGGAAAAATACAAGTATTGGCCGTATAACTGAGCATATAAGACAGACATATACACGCAGACACGGAGCTTCCTCTCAGCGATCGTGATATTCGCATGGATAAGAGTACCATTACGTCGTACATCGTGCGAGAGATCGCTGCCGATTAATCTTTTAAACGCATAGCGCAAGAAGATTGAGCCGAAGTGTCGCTATGCAATATCAGCATTTCTACCTTTCGCTTTGCCCGTCATTATTTTGCGCTTTAACCCACTCGATCTCTCTTAATTACGTATTAAATAATTCACTCGATGCTGATCCAGTAGTTCCTTTTATTAGGGCTGGAAATATTTACAGTATGTTTTTATATATTCGATTATACGAAGTAAAATGCTGAGGAAAAACATACAGAATAATTCCATAATATTTAAGTAGATAGATTATTATCGTTATTAATGTATTTTATTATTACATTAATCAGACACTGATTAAATCTCATTCTGTCCGATTAGTCACAGATTAAAAAGTATAATATATAATAGATGATTATATTATGTGATTAAAAAATAATAGATATTAGTCTCACACTCATTAAATTATTTAATCAGATTTATACGTAAAACTTTCAAGTAGTATCCGCGTGTATAAAAAATATTTTCTTAAATAATTTTTTTCTTGAAACAAACCCCAGAAAATTATTATTTAAATAGAAATTAGTTGAGGCGTAATATTTTGTCTAAAAAATATCCCAAAATTTTTCTAACAAGTCAAAGATCATTTCCTGGTGAACGAGATTCACCGAAAAACAAAATGCATATCTCGACGCATTCGTATAAAGGAGAGATTCTAACGAAATCGTGCGTAATGCTTGCTCGAGAGAATCGTTCCGCCCTTTTCCAAGTTTCCGCCGCCAAGAGAGTTTAACGAACTCTCTCTCTCTCTCTCTCTCTCTCTCTCTCTCTCTCTCTCGTTTAGGAACGCCGTACTTTCCCCAAATTTCCCGAAATGCCTATTTTCAGTCCCCTATTCTTCCGCCGCCAGACGGCTCGTATCGCGTCGCAGACAGAACTCGCTCTCGAGAAACGGTATTACCTATCTCTGCCTACCTATTACCGAGAGGAAGAAAAAGAAGAGAGGAAGCCGGTGCTATGCACGCGTATACGATTCGGACGTTGCGAGTGCGGGGACCGGCCAAATATACGCGGTGCGTCAGCGTCGCGGCGCGCGGCGTCGCGTCCTCCCTTCCTGCGCCGTTTCAACTGCCGGGCGCCTCGTTTGAGGTCAACGTCATCCGGCCTCTCTCTCTCTCTCTCGCTCTCTCCCTCTCTCTTGTACGCGCGCGACTGTCCGCACCCTCTCACCCCCTGTCTCCCTTCCTTCTCTTTGCGGTATCCTTTGTAACGTCCCTTCCCCTATCTATCTCTCTCTCCCTTTCTCGCTCTTTCGTTTTCTTCATTTGTCTTCGTTCGGGACATTCGGACGCGTCTCGGATGAGCGAACTTTGAAACAAGCATACGCTCCTGTGCTCTCGCAAATACACGAGGTCACCGTTATCGTTGTAATATTGAAGAGCTAATGTAAAGAAGACTATAAGTGCCAGACAAATAAAAAGCCAGTAAATAATTCCTTTTATTTTGGAGAGGCGTGGAAATTATGAAGATATACACATTTTTCATATTTTTTAGTATGTATCTTATTTTTAAATAGTCTCATAAATGGCATATGTCAATTTTTATAGCATTTTTACAAGATTTTCTTAGAAATAATCGGCGAAGAAGTGGCTATGTATTGCACATTCGATGATAAAATATGGAAAATATATAACGTATGAATATTTTCGTTATAAAAGAGTAATATTCCGAGTGAATAATGTGTTCAGTGTGTTTCATCTTAAATCTTCAAGTATTTTACTGGCTGAATTATTGCGATAAAAATCTCGGTGCTCTTATTAAAAATTCCAGGAATTATTACGCGTAACTGCAGGAAAAATATAAATCTTTTACGGTAGAAGGATTTTCGATTCGCCTTGCGGTTAAGTGGACCTAGGCAAAAAGCGGAAATAGCGTGCCGCCCCAGTCGTCGTTAAAACTGCCGTTGGTTTGCGGTTAAGTGGACCTAGGCAAAAAGCGGAAATAGCGTGCCCCCCCAGTCGTCGTTAAAACTGCCGTTGGTTTTTTTTTTTTT